TTGGATAATTATCAATCTATAAACCTAAAGCACTTTCGAGCTAATGTGATACTCTTGAACTTACTAAAACAATCAAGTGTCTACGAAACATATCTGACAGTAAGAAGAATCACCACAGAATCATGAAGACTATTTTGTAGCTTCACAATGGGTCTGCGTTCAGAATTCAAAAAGAATATAAAAATAGTGCTCACCTAGTCAGAATCGGCTGTCTCTCTTCGAGACACTCAAACGTTGTCAGATAACACTCATGTTTTGTGAGAAAAGCACAATAACTCATGATTAACCGTTACGAGGTGTTTTTTCCAGAATTTGTAACACGCTGTAGCTGCTTTGGAATATATACTTTACCAATCCTGGTATTGCAAATTTATTGTTTTTGAACTCGACCAGGCGACGGTCGCGTTACTTGGATGACCGTCGCATTTTCTGATTTGCTGATAGTGGGGTACGAAATGCAAAAGTCCTCTACGGATCTTATCAAGTTTTTTAAAAAGAGCTTATTGAATGTTTTCGCTATAAAAACGACACTTGTATGTTGCATGACGGTTTATTGTAGAGATACGTATTTAGAGGTATCCCAAAATAATGTGTACATTGTTTATTCGCTAATAGCTTCCTTGCTTTGATGTCTTTCGCGGATCTTTAGGTAACAATCTGTAGTGATGGCCAACTTATGTAGATCTGCAGCACATAGTCACCAACTAGTCTTCAGCTGCAGGATTACGGTAAAACATAAAAACCTTTAGCGTGTAGAATCAATGTGAAATAGGCCGCTTGGCAAATTTTTTTTCAATCTGCAGAAATGGTCACTAGAGTACTCAAGCATGCAGATTTCACTACACAAGTTCTTACAAGTGTTTCCAGCTTTCTTGATTGTGTAATCACATTTCGGACAAATTTTGGAAAAACAGTTGTCACGGTATATCTAAGATAATCTATGAAAGAAGCGTCACAGTACCGTGGGAACTCCATATTCGAAACCAGTGACTTCGATCAACGCAATATAAGAAACTTTAGCTTGTTTGGTTTCTAAGAAAAACATGACCTTCAATGACCTAAAATCCTTGTTGAAGTTCCTTCCCTAATCCCATAATAATAAAGAGAGATGGGCGATTTGTCATACACTAAATCTAAATTGAAGCCACTACTGAATGGTATTTACAGTCTGACAAAAGATTATTTTAAGTCAGAGAGAATTTTTTGTTCGTCTTTCTGATATTACTAAGATTTGCAATGTTGTTATGTATAATAATGCGTTCTAAATCTGTAGTGACCCTATGATTTAGTTTTAGGTAGTAAACTTGATTTTATCGTGGCGCGTTTTCGTGGTAGTGGAACGCAGCGCACGTTGTATCAGGTTGATGCATAATTCCTGCACCAAAATAGGTACATACCGCAATAACTCGGAATAACTCGGAATAACAAAATAGGTACATACCGCAATAACCCGCAATAACTCCTATATCCCATGTAGGATTCGATACATCATTAGATAGCGCAAACCTAGCTCTACAAGATAGTACTCAAATATCTACACCAGCTTTGATCCACGCGAAGTTTTGAGCCAAAAACTGAAAGAAACCATGCGTTCGCAAACCTTAAGACAGATCTTGAAAAAATGTAACTCCGTTAAAAAAGATCCTACAAAAATTCTTTCTTGCTCACGCGTAGAGGTTTTACATAAGACATTTATCTATGCAGTTGCTGTATTTTTTTCTCAGTTTGACGATGAGAAAACGAAGTTTTTCATGTTTTTGCCAAATTAGTGCTGAGATGTTCTAACACTACGGTTGTATAGTACATGCCATTGGCAGTCAAAGTTTACATTTTCAGCCTTCTAGAACAGCTAGTTCACGAGTAATGACGAATTTAGCTCTGTTCATACGAATTTTTCTTGCCTAATTGCCAAAAATTCGATATTTCTCGTGAACCAGTTGCTGTAAAAAGCTGAAAATTCACATTCACGCTTCTAAGGTCCTATAGTATACAACGGTCAGTGCTAGAACATCTCAGCATTGTTTTGGAAAAAATATGAAAAACTTCGTTTTCTCATTGTCTAGCTGAGCAAAAAATATAGGAACCGCATAGATAGATGTGAAGCGTGGAATGTCTACGCGTGTGCAAGAAAGAAGTATTCTAGGGGCTTTTTGAACGAAGTTACAATTTTTTAAAGATCTGTCTTAAGGTTTTCGGACGCATGGTTTTTTTTTCAGTTTTTGGCTCAAAACTTCGCGTGGATCAAAGCTGGAGTAGATATTTGAGCACTATCTTGTAGAGCTAGGTTTGCGCTATCTAATGATGTATCGAATCCTACATGGGATATAGGATTATTCCGAGTTATTGCGGTATGTACCTATTTTGGTGCAGGAATTATGCATCAACCTAATACATAAAAGCTTTAGTAAGCATTATCCAAAAGATCTGTCAAGCAAAACTAATTTTTTATTATCCTGAATTCTCAAGTAGATGGTAATATGTCAATTCTTATCCGGTACTCCGCCAAGCTATTTCGTGCGCTTTTTCAAAAATAACTTTGACGCAAAACAGCAGTTTTCTTGCACTAGTCCACATGCCGACTCTCATCTCTCAGCATGTAGATTGCCGAATGACATTTGTTCATGCTGATGATGCAACCTCAAGAAATTTTGAGGACGTATGACGGATTATTGATGTACAATACTTCCGTCCAGCTATGCTCTGGACTTACAAGAAAACGATATTTGCTTAACAAAACGCAAAGAGATAAGGTCATAGGGCTATCGCAAACCTTTTCGCTCCTTTATGTGAAAGTTTTAGGTTTCAAGAAGCAATTTGTATACAAACGAGGGGATGTTCTCATAAAAAAATTTGCAAAAATTTTTTTTTATAAAAATTGCAGTGAGCGTTTGTTGGAGCTGAAGAATAATGTTGTAAACAGTACAATCACTTACACTGACTTGCGTTCGTTTGCTGTGAGTTCCAAATATTTTCTCTGCATATTGAAAACAGGAAGTGCAAAGTTGTCAAAGAGTTCTGCTTCAATTTTCGATTCGATAGCTTGTTATTAGAGAAAAAATGAAGCAATAAGATTGCCAATCAAAAAAGGTTCCAAGTTGACATTTCACAAGCACTATCAAACTTCTGATAAAAAAAAGGTAGAATCAAAAAACATAATACTACATAAACAGGCCTAAAAAATGAATAAGCTATCAAACTCAAATAACTAAATCTCCGGGAATGAGATGTTACCTCTAAATAATGCAACCTATCTTTTTTGGATCTTGTGTCTGCTATTATCACCCTTACATCACAACCCTTCGACCAAACGCAGAAGGTAGAGGATTACGACCAAATCTGTAAAATTTCGTTACGCTTAAACAATGGACTTAATTGAATGCATTATATCGAAGAGGGGGGGGGAGGATGCATGCTGATAGTGCGCTGTGACAAAAATTTTAGCTTCAGACGTTGGCTGCAACTCGCTCTGTGAATTTCGTGACAGACAAATACGGACAGACAGACGCTTAGCGCTCTATTATGACTCATGATAGTCTTCCGCACGATTCACAATAAGAAATCGTTTGAATCCGTTTGTGATAAATTTACTCTAATTTTGTTTGTCTCCATGGTGACAAGGTATGTTCTATCTTGAGCCTGACTATTAGCACAGAAAATGAATGAGAACTGGAGGTTTTGTGGTGTAATTGGAAAGCAAACAAAACAACTTGCGCGAAAGAAAAAAATGAGCTAATCTACGACTTATTACAAGAAGCACCAAACGTGACAGAATAATTCAATAAATCGATGCCTACAGGTTTGCTACTCGTTTATATATGAGTCTATGAGGCGGGAGACCTATTACCACTCAGACAAATCACGGGAACTTCCCTAGGACAAGCTAATTTGCGAAACTTGCTTGATTTAGTACCGAGCTGAAAGAAGGCGAAAAAATGGGAACCTCCCGAGAACAATGACGTCAACAGCAATAAAGTTGGGAACTTCCCGAGGAAATCCTCGGAAACTTCCCTTAAATGCAGTGCTTCTCGAGCACTTAGATATGAGGGAACTTCCCCAGGGCCTTTCTTAAGAAGACTTTTCTATTTGTTGAGTATAATGTCAGCACAAGCTATTAACGATAAACATCTTCTTTATTTAAAAGCTTCTTACGAAAACTACTCAAAAGGGGTCTCCTAGTCCCATTCTGCGTGTGAAATAGAGAACATGCAAAGCTATATTGGCCACTGCGCGTTACGAGACTTTTGCCAATAAAGAGAAAAGCTTAGATATTGAGGACTTTGTTCCAGGAATTTTGTCATGGAAGGAAACCTGAAACAATCTTATGCTTTTGAAGAAAACAACTCTTTTTCAGAGCTAAAAACCCGAGCGATAATGAAAAACTGAACAAGAGAAGCGAAAGAATCCATTAGGAACATGAAAGCACTGACTAGAAACATTGCAAGGGAAACTGCAAAATAATTTATTGTCAGAAAGCTGAGTGAAGGGATCCCTTAACCTTATCATTCAGAAATTACCCCATTTAAGCATTAATAAAACAAAGAATTTGTGAAAAATAGCGCAGTTTTGGTTTACCGTGGGCGTCATGACCTATCGATTTCGTCGATATCGATTGCGTAGGAGTGCCACTCCACTTTCATTTTTGCACCTGCTCGGTCGTCTGCCATCTTCAGCAGATTTTCTTTTCACTATTCTCATATGGTGTCGAGTCTCTACATATTTATGCACGATAGCTCTGAATGTTTCCTTGGATATATCTCTCTCTTTGCAAATGCTTTTTTACTATTAAATTACCAAGAAGTTTGATTGACTTTATGCTCTTCCTTGTGCAGGTCTTTTATTGTTCTGGTTCCATTATTCGTCACTATCTTTTCGAGACACTCGCGTTAAGCTATAGTCTAGTTTGAACATGGTGCCCTTGCGGTAGACGCAACACTGCGCGGGAAAAGAAGCCATACTTTGGTTACAATACTTGTGCGTAAACTTGGTAATGGCGCTTTCTCATGGTCCTCACTCCCAAATGCTGGCGACACAGCGAGATCACGGGTAGGGGACTATATTCGCCGAAAAAAGGCGGCACCGCGGTCATTCGTAACTAATACGCACCCTCGAAGATGCAAGGATGTGCGTCTTTGCAGGGAGTCTGCGCAAGACCCTTCCGCATTCGTCGACTTATAGTCCTCCACCCTAGATCACTAAAGGGCCGGGCATACATCACGCGATTTCATCGCCTCACGATTCTCCGGACAAGACAACTATTACGAGTTCTTTGCATGCCGATCATCTTGCATTTCAGTTGTGATAGTTACTCGCGATTAGTCGGGTTGGAAAACTATCACAACCGGGGTGCAAGATGATTGATATGCAATGGACTTGTAGCAGTTGTCCAATTGTGAGAATCGCGATGCGATGAAATTGCGTGATGTAGGCCCCGCCCCTAAAGTGGGAAATCTGTTGCAATTAGAAGTGAAGAATACATACGCTCTCGCTTACATACATGAATATCGCTATCTTATTATTCAAAATATCTTTTTGCAGTTAGTGTGCCGGTGTTCCAAGCTAAGTTTCAAAGTCATTGCGTGATTGCACACGTCCGCAACGTGCGGAACATTCAGAGCAGTAATCTTTCGAAAAACGAATTTTTAAGACTTTCTGCTGGATGCATTGGATCTAGGACACTATGATTTGCAAGGATACAGGCTCGATGCTTTGAGAAATTCTCGCGATAGGTGCGTTGGCGTTCTCAATAAGGATTTCTCTGATGAATAGCATTTCAGCTTTTGGTTATCGTTAGGCGAAAGTGACGAAGAGCGCGACAAAAAATTCAACAGCCTTCTTGAGCAGAAGTCATACTGGTTAGTCAAATTGGAATCTGCATTTCCGAGGCGCTGTGAGCTTTTCTACGGTTTTGACTATTTTCTCCACTTAATCTGAATTTTGCAGCGAAAACATAAGATATTATCGTCTTCATGAAGGAAAATTACCTGCAAAGGTATAAACTTAGGTTTTCAAACCATGAATTTATTTTTTCTTTTAGAAGTCCAACTCAGTGCAGAAGGGATTCGGAAGAGAAGATTAAGAGCGAATATCGAAACAGGATTGGAAAATTGGCGCTGCACATGAGGGACGTATAGCCAGTCCATTCGCGAGTTTCCTGCCCATCAACAATCCTGCTACCATTCCCTCATTTTTCATACGGATATTACATCAGCCACCTCGTATATTTGTTCTTTCCTTTCTGTTCTTCTGTTTTTTTCTGTTATGCCTCATATCAAGCTCACTATCAACGCTTAATCGTTGCTTGTCGAATTGTCGGCGCTCTAGTTTAGTTTTGGTCGCAAGGTTGAACACATGGTCAAGAAAGGCGGTCGCGTAAAAAAATATTTGAGCGCAAAAGGAAGACTGAGGTGCGTAGCAAGTGGTACCCGGGCAGCCGACTGCTATCGCAGACAGTCGCCGAAGCAGCCGACAAAGCCGCTGCAGATGATATAGGCTGCTGCATGACGAAGGCGCAATATCTTTAGGCGCGAACGCGGCTTTAAATGCCGTGGAGCGCATGAGGCGCAGGATTAACAACACTAAGGATAAGCGCGCATCCCGTTCGCGCCCTCTCAACTAATACTGCTTCTGCGCCTTCGTCATGCAGTAGCGTTTACACTAATCATTCTTATCGTTGAAACTCCTGCCGAGGGGGTTTCTCGGCCCTCTCGTGCTGAGGCACGATATCAGCTCTAGGGATGGTGTGATATCCTTCATTTCTATATCATTTTAGAGAGCAAAAACAAATTTCGCTGAGAAGCATGCAGTCGAATACAAAACTATATAAGCGAAGACTTCCAAAATTCTACAAACAATTACTAAATGGATGAAAAGGAGATTAAACAACTTCTTCCATTGCAATTTGATATCAGAGTACAATATTTGCTTAGAAGGTGTAGTTACGTAAGTGCCACACTGATACTCTTCTTTGGAATTTTTCATTATTTTCAATAAAAATTTCTAACTCAAACCCACGTTTCCATGAACAAATTAAAATGCGCTTTCCTTGAATTGCTTATTGAAAGGGGTTCTTTTTATTTTTGGATCATTTTTGTGACAGCTCTGAAAACTAAAGCTTTTTAAGAAAATAGAACAGGAACACAAATTCGTCTCTTGAACTACAGTTAGCTTTATATGTTTATATAAAGGTATGCAACTGTGATTTAGCTGACAGGGATCTTTATCGAACAGATTGAACCCTAAAGAAAAGTAAAATTCTATTGTTGTATTTTCTGCTTTTTCTCACATACAGCAAATGTAGTGTATTCTTTGTTTTGTTTCTGCATCCATACCATCTATAAAACCCCGTGCATCATGGTGCATGGTAGAGGAACAAACACCTAATTAGGCACCGACTCTGCGGGCTGCTGCTCCTTTCGTCTCACTATCGTGCATCGTGGTAGGACCAGCAATTTGCGGATTCGTTGCCTAAATGAGGTGTTCATTCCCTCTACTCCATACTAGGCTATCTTCACTTTTCATAAGTAAACTAATCAATTTATTCGACCGACGTTGACTTATTTAACTCGCTTAACATTATAAAAGTAATCGATAATAATAATCGATAAATAATCGAAAATAATAATAATCGATAGTAATCGATAAAAGTAATCGATAATCCTGAAAACTAATATTGTATTCGGAATCCCCATGCTCGATTACCCCCCTGTGCAAACTCCCAGCCCCGTAGGTGAACTCTGCAAAAAATCGATAAAAATCGATAAAATCGATGTCGATCGATGACGAAAAGTAGCCTATGACACCCGCCGGGGCCCGAAGTGTATGTGTGCAAAGTTTGGTCCGGATCGGTTCAGAAATGGAATTTTCTATTCGGAACATACGTACACACAGACAGACAGACAGACAGACATACAGACATACAAACAGACATTCAGTCTTATATATGAGATTCATTCTACGTAGTATTTCAGTACTTTCTATTGCTCCGGGTAACGTCTAGAAAGGCCGTAATGATGAATTTTAAGCCGGAAATGGGTTCATTTTTCCACCTCAAAGAATGCTCATGTTGCGGCTCGGTATGCTCAGCACGCCTGCCCTAGTGCTGGTCCGCCTAACAACACAATTTCAAATTCCAGGATGTTCCATTCTGCGCTAGTGTGCGCACTACCTAGCGCGTCCGCTCGACGCCTACACCCCTACCCGTACAAACAAACAATCACAAGCGCGACTAGATTAAACCACATTCACTAAAACATAAAAAAACAAAATACAAACACCTAAACTACTAACTACCACTACAAGAGAAAGAACTGGGCACGGGACGAGCAGCCTCGTCCTTTTCAGAATATATCCTAGCCGTACCGATCCATCGAAACAGCGCCGAGATCCAGGGTCTTGAAAAGGAAGTAAAAAGCGTTTTTTGAATTTCAACAGCTCATAACTTCTTCAGAACTGCGTATGTGGAGACTTTATAGGTTAGATTCTTCTCTTCAAGAGCTTTTAGATGATATATAATCAAGAGCTTTCAGATGATATATAATATGTGGGGGTTAAGGGTCTCTTACGACTTAAGCCCTGGGGGAGTAAACCCCCACATATTATATATCATCTGAAAGCCCTTTATGAGAAGAATCCAATAGAAGTCGCAACATGATTTACGCAGTTCTGAAGAAGCTATGAGTTGTTGAAGTTCAAAAAACGCTTTTTTACCTGCTTTTCCAAGACCCTGGATCTCGGCGCTTTTTCAATGGATCGGTACGGCTAAGATATACTCTGATAAGACAAACCATACTCTACAAAACCTATAAAGTTGCAACATTATACACTTTCACTTTGAAGATTTATATGAGTTGAACTGTCAGCTGTCATTAAACACGCTAAAATGGCGTAATTTTTTAGAATTCTGGTTTTCGGAGACTATCCCTCAAATCGACTCGATTTTTTCGCTATCCGATAGAGCACCATTTACCCTTCAAAACCTATGAAGTCGCAGTTGCTCACATCTCCAAACTCTAGATTTATAACAGTAGAAATTTCGCATGATTTTTCGTCACTTTATTATCCAGATTTCTGGTTCTCGGCCGTTATTCTCTGGATCGACCTACTTTCTTCGCAAAAAGTTATGACAAAATTTACTTAATAAATTCCGTACAGTCCTGCTAACTTTTCTTCCAAATACGCCATTTACTAGACACTATAATTTCAAATATATATGTCGCCGTATAAATAAAAATATGCTTTCAGTAATCTTTCTTGCGTTTGTTTTGCTTATTTTCCTTCTTTATCGCCCAGCGAAAAAAATTTTTACTCCAAAAGTGAAGGTGGTCACACTCTACCAGCTCAAAAGTGAAGGTAAGGGGAGAATCGGCTCCCACTATCGCACTTCTGATCACAACCCTGCGATCAGTATGTAAGAGGAGGACGCAATTTTGTGACTAACTCTCTATTTCGTTACTCTTAGACAACGCACTTAGTTGAACGCTTTTCTTTTCCAAAAAAGGGTGCTCCATTTACGCATTTTACTGAAGTTTTGCGGTACGTTATTAGAAAGAAGAATTTGACAAAGGGCCATGTATCAGTACGAGAACAAGAGATCTAAATACAAACTTCACTACCATTTGAAGCCCATTGTAGATGGTGAGAAGCCAACATTGCTATGTTGCATGATGATCTATTGTAAAAAACGTATATACGGGTGTCCCAAAATTGTGACACTGTTTGACGCTGATAGCTTTCTTGCTTTGATGCTTTTCGCGGATCATTAGGTACAAATCTGTAGCGCTGGCCAACTTGGATTTGCGCATGGAGCGAATCACTGATTGCTCTTCAGCTGCAGGATTACCGTAAGAGCCGTAAGAACCATTAGCGTATGGGACCAGTGTTAGATAGGCCGTTTGGCAAATTTTTCTTGCAATCTGCAAAAAGGAGAACTAGGGTACTCACGCATGCTCATTTCACTACACAATTCTTTACAAGTGTTTTCACCTTTCTTGGCGGTATAATCACGTTTCTGATAAATGTTGGAAAACATTTGTTACGGTCTACCTAGGATAAATCAGAAAAAAAGCATCACACTATTGTAATAATTTCATAATCAAAATCAGCGACTTCCATTGATCTAGTATAAGAGATTTCGGCTTGTTTGGTTTTTAGGGAAAAAATGGCCTATGATCCAAAATCCTTGTCGAATTTCTTTGCCTAATCGTGTAGTAATGAAGAAAGATCGGCGATTCGCTATATATAAATCTAATTGTAAGTTGAAGCCGCTCTATATAATGGTACTTCGAGTCTGGCGAAAAATGTCAAGGCAAGTAAGTTATCAACGACACAGACAGTGTGCAAATTATTTTGGAACACTCTGTAGGTTTAACAATTACAGTCGTTTTCAATACGCATTGGTCTTTTCTACCGTATGCCTTCCAGCCTCATCATCGGTTGGTAAGGCGCCGCATCGCTTCGGACTTGCGCACTTGCCTTCCTCGATACGCCAAGCCAAACGAGCGTTCGCTACGTGGCGCAGGCCCGAAGCGAGGCGGCGCCGCACCAACCCAAATCATGTTGAGGCTGGAAGGCATACGGTAGAAAAGATCAATACGAATTGAAAACGACTATATCTCAGAGGAGCTATCTAGTACGCTGGTTTTAATAAGTAAGCCACTTTGTACGAAACTATTATGAAATCTGTACTTGGTAAATGTCTGATGCTTTGTTTACAATAAAGTGTAGTTTGTCTTGATAGCATACGATAGGTGCACTGTGCTGGATGTGCCTAGACGTTGCTTAGAGAAGATTCCATGTTCTCTTCTCAATATTACCAAGACTTGCAATGTTGTCATGTATAAGAATGTGGTTGTCTTTGATCCGAAATGATTCCATATTTAGCTGTATATAGTAAACTTGTTTCTGTGATTTGCTTTTGTGGGGTAAATGCTGCGCACTCTGTAATACAAAGGAA